AAGACACAATGCTGAATAATAGTATTTTTTAATTTAATAGAACCCTAATTTTAAAGATCTTCACAAATTTCGCTAAAACATACCTCCCTGGGATGAGTAGAGTACGGGTGACTGGCGTATCTCGAAGCTTCAAGAGCATCCTCAAGGTCCGGCTGCGCCACGAGTTCCCGACCAATGCGGTCGCCAACGACAATGCCCGCATTAGACACATCGCGCAACACAATCTCCTCCTCCCACGACATGTGATTCAATAAACCCTAGTTTCGCAAAGAGGGAGGAGGATGAGCAAAATTTGGAGAAAAGCAGACCGTTTCAACGACGTTTCAATTCATAGAGGGGAGGGAAAATGGCAACATTTGAGAATAAGGAAGGGTGAATATGAGGTTTACAGAAGGGTTTTCGGGGGCGGCGGGCAAATTCAGCGCTAAATTTGATTCAACGGCGGTTCGGTCATGTCTTCAATTGGCCCAAATTTTTTTTTTTTTTTTTTGTTTTGAACAGGGGGGAAATTTGGGGGAAGGGTGAATAAGGGTTGCTATTGGAGCTTGAACTCTAGTCGAGGTCCGGAGTTAGGTGAGCCCGAAAACCTGCAGGTGCTTCAATTGGTCCAAATCGAGGCTGTTTTTCTTGGTTAATCTTCTTGGGTTTGCTTTAAAAAAAAAATCATATTGGTTTTTTTTTTTTTTTTTTTTTTTTTTTTTTTTTCAAATGTGGGAATCTTTTGCTTAATTTAATAACCAATCTACTAATTTTTGTATTTTTTTATTTTATTTATTATTTTTAGATACTTTTATTTCTGTTTATTATTTTTTTGTTTTTATTTCAGTTTAATTTAATTTGTTAATTTTTTAATAACAATTTTATTTTATTTGGTCAAATTAATCTTCAATTATATATTTTTTTAATGAATTTTTATTCTTTAAAGTTAATTTTGAGATAAAACTAATTTTATGAGGATGATAAGTTTTTTTTTTTTTTTTTTATGGTTTGAGGAACTATAACTTTTATCACATATTGTTTCAACTTTTCCTTTTGACAATTCTTCTCTATAGAAAAAATCACAATTATTAATATGTTTTAATTGCTTGTATAGTTTGTTATGGACTACTTTGCTAACTAGGGTTACTCTGTTTTAATTTTGATTTAACTTTTTTATTTTTTTTGTTAAAACTAATGAAAATTTAGTATAATAAAGTATTCTAAAATATTTTATAAAGTTTATGCTATTTAGAAAGAAAATTAACTTTTTAAACTAAAATAAAATTAAGTTGATAATTAATAAGCTAATTATTGAATTAAGCTCTTTAAAGAGTTTGAAGTTATAGCATCCACTTTTGATAATTCGTTAAACCTTCATTTTGGTCCCTCAACTATTGTACAAATCTCTGATTTAGTCTCTCAACTTAAAAAATCTTTGGTTTGGTCATTATTATTTACCATTTTAACCCTGATCTAGTCCCTCCGTTCAAAATCCACCTACGTGTCCTGTTAACTAACAAGAGCACAATGGCATGACATGTCAACATATTAAATACATGCAAGGAGAGCATGGCAAGAAATGATGATATGGCAAAAAAATACTTAAAAAATTCTCTTTCTTCTTCCTTGCCTTCTATAAACTCTAAAGACAAAACCTGCAATTGCCCCCAATGAATCCTGCAATTTCATCCTTTCATTTTTTTCTCTCTCTATCCCTTCCCCAACACTAGATCTAGACCTTTCCGATTTCTCTTTTTTGTTGGGTTTGAAAGCTGGGTTCAAAGGAACCCAACACAATTGGGTTTTTTCGAACCCCAATAATCGTTGGGTCGATTGAACCCAGCAAGTGTGCTGGGTTTGAAATCGAACCTAGTAACCACTTCCTCCTCCTCTTCCTTTCCTTTCACCTTCTGTAAACCCAGACACTTTCTAACATCAAATCCAAGTATAACACAAACATCAAATCCAAATATAACATAAACATCAAACATAAGCCTAGAATCTCCCAAAATAGTCAGTACACTTTCAACCTTCCAAAAGCCCAGAAAAATCAAGGTATCTTCAATCAAACCCAGCAGCAATTCTTCAATCAAACCTATCATTCTTTAATCAAACCTAGAAAGGGTACATCAATTAAACCCAGCATTCTTCAATTAAACCCAGCATTCTTCAATCAAACCCATAAGGGGTTCTTCAATTGAACCCAATAGTGCTTGCTAAGTTCGATCGATGAACCCAGCAGGCGTCATTGGGTTCAATTGATGAACCCGGTAGGCGAACCTAGTGTCGTTGGGTTTGATCGGCAAACCCAGCAAGACCCAGTAGGTGCTCCTGGGTTCGATCGACGAACCCAGCAAGCGTTCTTGGGTTCGATTGACGAACCTAGCAGGTACTCCTAGGTTTGATTGATTAGCTCAACAAGCATTCTTGGGTTCGATCGATGAACCCAATGGTGCCTACTGGGTTCAATCGATGAACCTAGTGGCGCCTACTAGTTTCATCGATTGAACCCAACGACGTTGGTTGGGTTCATGAATCGAACCTAAAACCCCTCAATGAACAAGGATCCTGGGGCAAGAAGATGAACATAAGATGCTAGAGATGAAAATGAAGGGGTAATGAAAGGAAAATGGAAAGAAATTGATGTGTGGTTGAAGATGAGGGTAAAAAAGTAATTTTAGTTTTACAATTAATTTTAAATATTTTAATTTTTATTGACAATTATGTGTCAAAGTTTTTATATGCCATATTGTTAATCCTACATGTCAAAATATTTTTACATGTCATCCTCTCTTGTCAACTAATGAGGCACGTAGGCAGATTGTGAACGGAGGGATCAAATCGGGGTTAAAATGGTAAACAATAAGGACCAAATCAGGGATTTTTTTAGTTGAAGGACTAAATTAAAGGTCTGTACAATAGTTAAGGGACCAAAATAGGGGTTTAACCTTGATAATTTCCTCAATCCCCTCTCGCCAGTTTTCTTTAGTCAAACTTACCTTTCCTTCCTTCGTTTAGGTTAGAGAAGTAAAGAAATTTTAAAAAAATAATAATAAATAAGGGATTCCCCTCATTTCTAATTTCTTTTTTTTTTTTGATAATTAAATGGAGGAATTTTCTTTCCTCCCTTCCCCTCTATTTCTTTCCACTCCTCTTAAATCAAACATATTCTAAAGAGTAATTATTCTTGGGATCAATTTTGAATGGTCAAAAAATTCATCCCTCTCCTCCCCTTCCCCTTGTCTCCCTCAAACCAAAGATACCCCGAAGAGTAATGATTCTTAGGACCAAATTTTTGGAACAAAATTATTTTAACAGTTGATTATGTAAGTCCATATGAGCTTATACTACCATGAATTCATCCTATGGCTTTTTCCTACTAACTCCTAAGGGTTGATATAATTTTTCTCTAGTCAAACATACTTGTGTCAAGAAAATGATTAGCATAAGTGTGAGGAGTTAGAGAAATACACTTAAAGGAAATCACCTTACAAATGCATGTTCTAAATTAGTTCTCAAAGTAGGAGAGTCTTAGAGATACCTAAAAGCAAAGTTATCCCCAAGTAATAGCTTAAAAAATATATATATCAAGCTTCTCATGAACACTGTTAAGATTGTAAGTGTCATTGGAAATGTTTCTCTTATTATCTCTCATATAATAATCATCCCTCTCAAAAAGAGAAGGAAGACTCAAAAGTACAAAACCATCTCAATGTATTCCTTAACACCCGAGAAGGTAGTGAATAAGAACTTATCAAACCAGTATTTATCTCTATGGGAATTTTAAAGAAAAGCTACCTTTGTTGGAAACTTCCCTACAAAAGTAAGCAAAAATAAGGGAATTCTTTAGCTTAGGAGTGATAAAGGTAGTGAAAAAAAAGTAAAGGTGGGTTTGATGGTTTGCATGTAATAGGCATAAAGATAGGTGTTGAAAACTTTATGCAAGAAGGTTGCATGTGACCTAGATCAATGTTGTAGCCATTAATTTCTCTAGCAAACATGAGGTGAAGAAAGGTGTCATATAGAAATACTTGACTAAGAGATATGTGGTGTGGTAAAACACCTTTCTCCTAGGAGACTCTAAAAGAATATACTCAAGAATCCTATTCTTGAACCTAAGTTCCCTAAGTTTTCATTCGATAGTTTTAAAGGAAAAGGCTACATTACCACCTACTTTTGCCTTCCTAAATAACAAAGGTTTCCTAATTCTAGAAACCTTACTTAACGTGCATAACGTCTTTCCTTTACTCATTTCCTCTTCCTTAAAAGGCATTTCCTCAAAGTTAGAATGACACTCAAAATTGTTAGATATTATATGTTGAATGTTTATCAACAAAGATGACTTATATATCCCAACCAAAGGTATTGCTAAAAGACAATTGATAACTTCACCTCTGAAAGAATTGAAACCTCATCTTATTATTTTGAGCAATCCCCTAGGTGAAGGAGACGTTATCCTTGGCTTGAACATTTGGCAAGGGTAAAAGTAAATTAGCTATGTTTAAAGGAGACAAAATAGAGTACAAGGAAAGGGGAATACTAGCACTTATTGAAAAATTTTGGTAAGGGTACTTAGGAGAATTTTGGGAATCCTACATATCATTATTTTCCAAAGAAGACATCTCGGCAACATAAGAAAATGTAAAGAAACTTAAGAAAAAAATGATTACATAGAAAAAAGAAGTATAAAGATGAAAGCTTTACTCTTAAAATACTTGAAGTACAGAGGAAATTGGGGAATTCACAATGGTTGCTAAAAAGGGAAACTAAAGGGGAAAAAAATGAGAGAAGAAGAGGAAGAAGCAAAAGAAGCTAAAAATATGAAAAGTTTTTAGAAATGTCAAATCCTAAAAAAGCTAGGTTAAGTTAAAAGTCTAAAAAATTAAATAGTTTGGTGTAATATGCAAGAATCTAATTAATGCCTCATGTGGGAGTGTATTGGATGTGCATTAACTACATACTCTCATGTGTCCAAACCTCATATGACCTAAAGTCGACATTGCCATGATTTGGGAAAAGCAACCAATGTGATGGTTGTTAAATAGCTCCTAAAAATTAAACCATAAAGGTTGAGCTTTTTTTTTTTTTTTTTGGGTCAATTAGAAAGGTTGAGCTTTAGAGACTTAATTATCATCCCACTTAGTAGTGTTTGATTTAGGAATGGTGATTTTTACCAACCTATTACCTATGTCTTCACTCTAGTGATTTGTGTTAAAAGAAATCTTGAAGATTAATGTTGACTCAAGGCACTCCAAGACGAGGGTGAATTGGAGTTCCAAAATTCTCCCCTTTTGCAACCACAAAACCAAAGTTAAAGAGAGTAGAGAAGAAGAGTTTGCACAATGAATTTATAGAGGTTCGGTCTAACCACTTGGAGCCTAATCCTCTACCTTGGCTTCACTCACCAAGGATTTTCTCCACACTCTTCACTAAGAAAGACAAGGGTGGCTTAAAGGAGCCACTCAATCTTTTTACAAGAAGATGAGTATTTCTCTCAAACCTCACCCAATGTAAACCCCACGAATCCTCTCAATAGATCACTCTTGAAGGAATAATCACACCCCCAAGAACATACACTAATAGAACAAGAAGAGGATTACAAGCAAAGATCACTCAAAGATCACTCAAAGATCAAAAACTCAAGTTAAAACTCAAGTAGGTAGGTAAAGATATTCAATGCAATGTTCTCTAAACTTTTTCAGATCTGTTACCAACCATATTTATAGCCCTTTGCTCGAAAATAGCTGTTTCTAGCCGTTGGGGGTCATTAAATGCTCTGCAGGACGCAAAGCTCGAGTTGCAAGATTGTCAGGAAAGCCTGCTTAGATTACTAGAGCTGGCTCTGTATAGTCGGCTCACCATTTCTGCAGCCGACTTTACAGGATTCTGCACATTCTGTTTTCTCTGTAGAGCCGGCTCCAAAACGCAAAGCCAGCTTTGCGGGTTTGCTGCACATTCTGTTTTCTTCCACAACCGGCTGCAAAAAACCTAAAGCCGGCTTTGGTATTCCGACTTTTAAAAAATATTAATTATTTTCAAATAAGTCAATCGCTATGCATTAAATGCGCCCTTACAGCCGGCTGTAAAGTTAGAGTCGGCTCTGTGTCTTTTCTTCGCGCGCGCCAAACAACAGACCTTTCAATCTTTACTTGTAGAGCCGGCTGCAGCTTCCAAAGTCAACTCTTTGCATTTCCATTTCACCAGAGCCGACTGTAGCTTTCAAGAGTCGGCTCTCTGCACGTACTCAACTTTCTGGTCCATTTTTAAGTGCATTCCAAGTTTACTTATTTTGCAATCTTTTGACATTTTAACTACACACTTAAATGAACCAATTAGTCACTCAAATGTGTTTTGTAATCATCAAAATCATAGGTACAACAATTAAATCATCTTAACAGTTTCAAAAGCTTGAAACCACTTTAAGAGGGCAAATGATATCACCAAATATGCAACCTATATATGGAATAACCTACTTAGTTCATATAAGCCTATGTTATATATTAACTTAAAAAAATTCTTTAAGTGCAATATGGAAAGCTTTAGCCAAAGGCGTTAATTGATTTAAACCTAAAATAGCTCTTAGGATATTGGTCAAGTCTATACTATGTGGAACTAGCCAAGCCAAGCTAAAGGACATATGTGGTATTGACTAAGCTACCTAAGCACATCTATAACTAAAGCTTGGTGACCAAAATAAGTACAGCCCAAATGAGGTCATGATCAACCAGCACTTGGATGCAACCCTATGCTTGTGTTTGCCCCTAAAAAGGGCCATTATACCTTCTACATGTAAAGCTCTCTTGTTTGTTGCCATATGGCTTTCTTCCACTAATAATATGCCTGCTTTAATACTATTTTATAGATAAAACCCCCATTGATGGACCAACTCATGTAGGTTTTCGTCATCAATAGATGTGTCACCTAAACAATAAGGATTATAAAATGAGAGTTTTGCACCTTCCTAAGGTAATTCAACTTCAAACTCTTTTTTCCTTTCTCTTTTCCTTCGTCATAACTTCTTATCTCACAGAATCCATACTAACTTGAGCATTAAATGATGTATTTTGGAAACCTTATTGCCCATTCCAACCTACCTTTCTTTTAAGCCCTTGTAAGTCTTCCAAGTTGTCAAATTTCACAACTTTTTTGTGAAGTCCAAATCAAAATATTAAATTTATATATTGCTTTAAGGGTGTATATAACTAGTCTCCCTTTTTCAATCCCTATTCCTTCAACATTATTTTTCATTTTACATAACTACATATGGTGGTACATACCAATTTTGATTTAAAACTAGTGTAAAATATATTAAATATCATATTAGATCTAATAGGACTATGCTGGCTAAAAATTTATATGAATGAAAATATGGTACTGGTTGATACAAAAGAAGCAATTACTTTAAAAAAAAAAATAAAATATGCTTATTTTTTGTTGAATTAACTTTATAGTGTATAGAAGGGTTCATAGAGATTTGGATTTTTGGTTAAGATAGTGGTATTTTGTGTTTGATGAACATTTTTAAGAAGGTTAAAAAGAGGTGTTTACAATAGCTATGGTTGGGTTGAATTGTATTTGGTAATAAGAGTCATAGATCTAAGAGTGAGGGGCTTATAATCAAATTATAACTAAAATAGGTGAATTAACTAAAAGATAAGAAAGGAAGTGAAGAGTTGATTGTAAATATTGATGGAAAATTTGGATTTTACTGATGGAAAATTTGGATTTTACTTGTGGAAAAACTTTAATTATCTATCTAATACTTTGTCCGAAGAGATGAAAAATGGATATTTTGTAGATTGTCCTTTTTGTAGTACTAATTGTCAAATTTATCTTTTGTAAAGATTTCTTCTATTTGTTTGTAAAATTTTTAAGAATATTTTATAAAACTAACTTTTTACACATTTTTATTTTTTTTATATGAATTTAGTTTTTTTTAGTTACTGATGTTATTTGTTTATTTATATGAATTTAGTCTCACAATACGTATCATGCCATTAGTAAAACTTGTATGAATGTTGTATGATACTGACAACATTGATTCTTTAGCCTATTTTACCTATATTGGTACGGCTTACAAAAAACATATCCTAAAAACATTGATGAAATTCTCCACTCAATCATCTTGCATTCATTTGTGATGCTACATTGATTAGCCAAGTCCGTGAGGATATACTATAACAAAAATAGAGACTTTAAAACAAGTAAAACACATATTTCTTTGGTAAATTATTCCAATAAAATGGAAATTGGACTATAATTTCATTTAAGAGTATTACATATCACTTTTTTTCATAGTGAATTTACTTCACATAATTTATTTTAATTAATGTTTTATATTTTTTAGTAATTTTAATTAATTATTGATAAATTATCAAACCTATAATCATCACATATCCCAACACTTCGAAATAAACCTATATTATATACAAATTTGAAATCTATATAATGTTAACTAACTAGGCACCCATTATTGTCTTTCTAAGATAGAATTGGAATAAGAGAAGGAGCTTGAACATTACCACCATTGGAAAATAAAATTTTTGTCCATCATAAGTGCAATAATGTGGAATGAAATAAATGTGTATACAAGTATGAGACATAAAAACAGAAAATACTATTTTCAATATTGTACAAAATGAAACAACTCAAAGTAGAAGAATTTTATTAATAAAAGAGCTATTGATTATGAATTGCAAAACAAGCTTATAAACTTATGATAGTATGAAGGCAAAAAAACAAAAAAAAAAAACCTATGATAATATGAAGCAATCATATAGTAATTATGCAAAATAAACAAAATTTAAATTTCACTAAAGCATTAGTTGTAATATTTACCTTCATATGTTACTTTGACTTTTATATTGACTCCATATAAATTTGTAAAAACTCCTTAATGCCAATTATGAATGATATTGAAACTTTGATTAGACCACAAAAAATTAGTTAGTTATTTTTCAAGATGCATGGAAGGTTTTAAAATCATTTCTAAGCTATTCTTCTTGCAATGGAATATGATTAATTTTTTGAATTCATTTATAAGTGGGAAAGAGAGATGGTCATAGGATTGACAACATTACATTTTACAAATTAACTTAAGGTAACATCATTATTTTTAGGTTGATTGAATTAATTCATGAATAGAATTTGATATGGCTCCTCTATTTAGCTATTCATATTAAATTATAAAAAAAACGTGTTCATTTTTTATAATGTAAATTATAATTAAAAAGTTGAGATAATAAATTATAAGATTAGTGTGTATCAGTCTTGACTCCCCAAAAAATTGAATTCCTAATTTACATTTAACATTTTGATTGGTTCTAAACTTTTGCTAAGATAGTATACAACATATTCTTTCTTTTATCATTTTCTTAAGTCAATAAACATGCAATGGGTTCTTTGTGATAGAAACATACAAGATTAAAGGTTTATTTTTATTAGGCAGAACTAGAACAAGTGATTTTGAAAAGTACTGATTAATTTCTTCAAAGGCATATTTATGTTGCTCTTTCTATTTTAAATCTGCCTCTGACCAAAGTTTAAGTAAGGAAGAAAAAACTTTGGTTTTGCTAACCAGATTAGAAATAAAATGTCTCAAAAAATTCACTTGATCGAAAAATTTCTTCTGCTCCTTTATATTTCTAGGTGGTTATGCTTTTATCATTACACAATCTTTATTTCTCTCAACTTCTAGACCTCTTTCATGTACCAAAAATCCAAGGAAATTTCTTGTAGAAACACCAAAAGCACACTTCAAAGGATTCATTTTTAGACTATGAAATCTCATCAATTCAAAGGCTTTCCTCAAGTGCCCAAGGTGATCTTCAACCTCTTTTGATTTTACAACTACATCATCAATGTATATCTCCATAAAGTGACCAATCATGTCTTGGAAAATTGCATTCATGACTTGTTAAAAAGTAACTAGTACATTCTTTAGGCCAAAAGAAATAACAACCCACTCATAAGTACCAATTGCACTTGAATATCGAAATGCAGCATTTAGAATATTAATTTCTATGATGAAGATCTGGTTGTAACCACTATAACCATCCATGAAAGAAAGGATTTTGTGTTTCATAGTCCCATCTACCAACAAATGTGTTATAGGTATTGGATATTCATATTTAGGAGTTGCAAGATTCAAATTTCTAAAGTCAATACATACTCAAAGCTTACCATTCTTCTTCACCACAAGGGCTATGTTTGAAAGCCATTTTGGGATATCTAGAAGTGTAAATGACCTTATTTTTAAGAAGCCTTTTCACCTTTTCTTTCACCTTCAAAGTAACTTATGGTGACATTCTTCTTGAAGGCTGCTTGAATGGCCAAAATCCATCTCTAACAGGTAGATCACACTCCACTAGATTTCTATGTTAACCCAACATCTCTAAATAGTTCCAAGCAAAATAATTCTTGAATTCTTTTAGAATGTTGATGAGCTAATTTTTGAACATAGCTTAAACAAACTGCTTAGATAAGTTATTCTTGGTTCCTCTTCTGTCCCAAGATTGATTTCTTCCAAAGAATCTTGCACTTCTGCTTTCAAGTCATCGAGCTAAGTAGGAGATATATTAAGTTCTTCCATTGTAATCCCTTTTACCTAGGATTCCTGATAAGTTTAATTTTTAAATACTTTTACTTATCTCTTTTGGCTTAAAAGTTAATTTTATAAGTATTTTATAACTTAATCTCACCTAAATTTACATCAGTCTCATTGTTTTGTAAGTGAAGATTAAAGAACAAGCTTATTGATAATTAATTTTTTAACTACTGATAGTTTAAGTAAACAATGGTATTTTAATGATAACTTTCTCTTTAGATATCAGATTGAGGTGATTCTTAAGGCATTAAAAAGCTGAGAAGCAAAGCTACAATTTATCTTTTATAAGTTTAACTCAATTTGATCATATTTAAGTTGAAATTCCAGTTCAAAGTTGTGGTCTTGACATAGTAATTGCTAGGCAAATTAACAAAGGGGAGTTAGGTTTTTAGTTTATCTAATTAAAGGGATTCAAGGTTGTGGGCTAGTTGTAATTTAGGCCTAAATAACTCGTAAGCCCTAGAT